TCCACCGTGATCGCCTTCTTCATCAGAGCCGCCTTCGACACCTGCGATCGCAGCGGCCTTGACGTCGTCGATAAGAGGGTTCCGTTGGGTGCGCCCATTGGAACCAGTCCTAGCCCCCTCAGCTTCATGAAGTCCAAGCTAGTGCTGTTGGTCTCCCACGAGCTTTCTCTTTCTGGTAATGTCTCTGTCGCCATTATTTTATTTATTATTTTTTATGAATTTAATTAAGTTTAATGCATTTTTTATATTTGTTGTGTGTAAATTTATTGATTACTTCTTCATCAGCTCACCGATTAGCTTAATTAGTTGTGTTAAGTTTTTAATGACTTGTTTAGATTATACAAACATAGAAAAGTTATCAGCTTTAGATGAAAGATACCACTCTTCTTTAGTGGAATCTGTGAGCATTAAGTTAACTGGTTTTCGGACTACTGAATGGTTTTCAATAACCCATTTAACATTAAGTTCTTTCCTGTGCCTCATTACTTTAAATTTCCTCTTTTAATCTAGTATTTATGGAGATGGGTGAAGCAATACCAGCCAGCTTGTTCCTTAGCGTGTTAATGCTTTTTGTTATATTTTTCATCTCGTCGAATTTAATTTGTTTGTGAATTTGGAAACACGGCCTGGTGCAGTTGCATGCCTTTCCATTTTGTTCGAGTTTAATCTATGATTTCATTCGGGATTTGTGTGATATCAAGATTATGGAACGGAAGAATGGAGTACCTTACTTTCTCTGCTATTATTGATTCTTCTAACACGGCATCTGTATTGTTCTAATATTCGCGTATTACTTTGTAACTTATATAATTCAATAACCGGATAAGCAGGGTTATATGAATTATTTGTCCAGAGGCCATAGGCCCACAAATCAGTTATGTACTGATGTGTGCTTTGCTTTCAGTTAACAACAAAAAAAGAACAAAAATTCTGCCAAATCTAAGCATTATATTACTACTCAACATGAAAATATTTGTCGTCTTTTGAATATTAACCTATTTATTGGGATAATCTTGTTTTTGAGTTGTCAACGCTTATTGACTGCATTTAGTATAATTGCACGTAATGGTGAAATAATTCCAAGCATTTTGTAGTACAATGTGTCATTTGAAGAATGCTCTTTTTTTTTTCTTTTTTTTTTTTTTCTTTTTCAGTTGAGAGACTCTCCTTGCTTCAATAACTTATTGAGTCAATATTTTGTCAGGCGTCAACAGACAAACTTTTATTAATGTCGGATACATTCTTTCTGTTATATTTACATGCACTTGTCGGCATATTGAAATAAATGGAGTAGTATGCATGTTCGAGCACAACTCACGAAAGCTACCTTCCTCCTTAGCCATATATTTGGATGAAGAGTATATTGTTTCCAACCAATTTCTGCTCTTTATATTTTACAAACTCTGCTGATGGGATGATATATTGAACATTCTTCCAGGTGGACCTTTGTTGTTGATGGAGCTAGCATTTTTATTGAGAGGAGTTGGCACTGAAGTTTGTTGGGTTACAACCATGAAATCGTCAGATACAGATGCAACGACATACAGCTTGGGGCATAAGATGTTGGACCGAGGAGTGCAGGTACAAAATTCACTTTTAAGAGATTATTTTGGACGCTTCTTTTGCAGTCTAGTTGTCGTCTTTGTTTTACGTAGCTATCTTTATTATCTCAATATTTCATGATCTTCGTAAGCATTCTGTTGATCAACCATACTATATTGGCCACTTGCAAAGGAAACTATGCTAATTAAATCTATCTCCCTATTTGATTTGATCTGTATTATGGCCTTGTCTGGCTTTGGTCTTCTGTGTGCCATTTCTTGTTTCTGATAGGTTAGATTTCTGTAACTTCTGCAGATGTCTAATACTTTTTTTTATACATCTCTAGGTCCTCTCTGAAAATGGCCAAGAAGTTGTAAATACAGCTCTCAAAGCTGATTTGGTTGTATTGAACACTGCGGTTTCTGGGAAATGGTTGGATGTTGTTCTTAGGGAAAATGTTCCCAGTGTTCTCCCGAAAGTGTTGTGGTGGATTCATGAAATGCGTGGCCATTATTTCAAATTGGATTATGTTAAGCATCTCCCACTTGTTGCAGGTTCTATGATAGATTCACATGTAACAGCAGGATATTGGGAGAATAGGACTCGAGAGCGTTTGGGGTAGGCTTCATATATTTGTCCTTTTTCTTTTTTATTTTATATCAAATTTTGGTTTACTATTTGCAATCATTTTCTCTCTGCAGTATTAAAATGCCCGAGACCTTTGTCGTTCACCTTGGAAACAGCAAGGAACTTATGGAAGTTGCTGAGGACGGTATAGCAAAGAAGGTTTTGCGTGAGCATGTCCGGGAGTCCCTTGGAGTGCGAAGAGAAGATCTTGTATTTGCCATCATAAACAGTATGTATTTTGATCTGTTTTGGTGGTTTGAATGAATTTGGTTATAATGCTTCACCATGAATTCACCAGTTTATTTGCTTTTTATCTTTATCTTGTTGTATGCTTGTGAAATTTATGTTAATTTCCGTTGGGAAATAAAAAATAGAAAGTAGTGTTCTGGTTAGTTTATGCACACACAGTGAGCACTAAAGTACACTTCATGACTATAGGCGTTTCACGTGGAAAAGGCCAGGATTTGTTTTTGCGTTCCTTTTATGAAAGCTTGCGAATGATCCAAGAGAAGAAGCTGCAACTGCCGAGAATGCATGCTGTAATTGTGGGGAGTGACATGACTGCTCATACCAAGTTTGAGCGTGAGTTGCGTAACTTTGTAGCGATGAAGAAAATTCAAGATCGTGTTCATTTTGTAGACAAAACTCTGACTGTAGCTCCATATCTGGCTGCAATTGATGTCCTTGTTCAAAATTCTCAGGTATTAGAAACATTTTCCGTTTACAAAATGCATTTGATATCTTGTTTGCACCAAAAGTGGCAGATAGAACTTCTGATGCATATAGAATTCTAAATCATAGTTTTTAATGTCAACAAGTTCCCATTAGCCGAACAGATAAATCATAAAATGCATACAAAGGCAATGGCATTGCTGTCTTTCTCTAGCAAGTCTCACCCTAAGGCATTGATCTTACTCATATATTCGTTTTCATTTTGTAATATCTTTTTACCCTTCCAAATAGGCACGGGGAGAATGCTTTGGTAGGATAACTATTGAAGCCATGGCATTTCAGCTGCCAGTATTGGTAATGAACCAACCTTCCTCTTGTTATTTTGCGTAATATCTAATACCGGGGTTGCTAATCTTGTTGACTCGTGTAATTGACATTTTTTATTTATTTCCAGGGAACAGCGGCAGGTGGCACAACAGAGATTGTAGTGAACGGAACAACAGGCTTGTTGCATCCTATTGGGAAAGAAGGGATCACTCCTCTTGCGAAAAATATGGTAAAACTCGCCACTCACGTTGAGAGGAGGCTTACAATGGGGAAGAGAGGATACGAAAGGGTCAAAGAAAGGTTCCTAGAACACCACATGGCAATTAGAATTGCTGCAGTTCTGAAGGAAGTATTGCGCAAGTCGAAGAGCCACTCAGATTCATAAACATACACTATTCTCCTCCTTTTGAAGATGAACTACCCTAGATTAGTAGGTCGATTTTCCTTTTATGGCGACATAATCGTCCCTCGGGGTTCTCTTTTCTATTTTCCAATAGGGCTGTACATTTATGTACATATTAAGACATCAAGCTGGTAGTTGCTTTTGTTCAAAAGGTCGACATGAAGGACATGATCGATTTTGTTATAGCATGGGATTGGATGAGTTTTTTAAACGAACATCCTGAGCAAAGCTTTGCTTTTACTTATCCTTCCATTTTGGTATTTGCCGGTTCACCTTGAACTACTAAAATTAGGGATTTATTGAGTTCAAGCCCGCTGAGCCATATTAGTCAGAGTGGATGTGTTTTCCTATGCATTGGAGTTCGAATCTTCTTGTTTACAAAAATTGCTTGGATTAAAAGTAAAATTAAGAATCACAGACATGTTAAAAAGTAAAAAAAAAAATATTACTACTAATAACTTAGATTAAGTTTTCCATTGTAGCAAAACAATTCAATTTTTTTTTTTTATTTCAACTCAGAACAAAGCTACTGAGCTAGTAAGAAAATCCACAAGACTTCAAGGGGACTTGGGCTGTGAAGAATCACTTCCTGGCTTTGGCTTCTGCCTGAAGTTGTGCTTTGTAAACCAAGTGGTGTACAGAAACTGCTTCTGAGCCCCTACATGGTTGCATATCAATCTGAGCTTCTGCCTCTCCCTCATCCACCTCAGCATTATCTTCATGTGCCTCTTGCTCGTCAATCCTCTCAACCCAACTTCCTGAAAACACCGTTCAATCATTTCATCAAACACTTGGTGCGCGTATCAAAATCACTGCGAAGGGGGTCGGAGATTACCTTGACGTGATCCCAGGTTTCGGAAATGGTGAGAGGACCGTGCTCCTTGACGATGTCGAAGATGGCCCTGGTGATGGTCTGAGTTTGCTCAGGTGGGGTGTTGAGCTCTATGGGTTTCATCGGAGGTTTTGGCTTCCGAGCAATGCACCTGATCGCTGTCCCAAACATGTTGCCACTCTCTTTTTCCAAAACCCAAAATATCAATCTGTTAGGTTTAAAAATGTACCACCAGAAAGAAAGTGGGCAAATATATAAAACCGGTTACAAATTAAAAAAAAAAAAAAAACTACAGAACATGTAACTCATATTGAGTGTCCCTCTCGTTCTATATTTTAAAAGAATTCGTAAGTGCAAATGATCTTTTATCACAGTGGTGGAAATGTGTTAAGCCTTTTCGAATGTAGTATTTATTTGTTAAATAAATGACGCTCATTCAAAAAGAAAAAAAAAATGGTTAAGAACATTCACTCTTATACTCGAGATTTGTATCCGATTAGAGCCTCCCACCCACCCACCCACCCACCACCCCCACGCCTCAGTTATCACTTGTATTGAAGCAACAACCCAAGTCTTGAGATGCTTATTTTTCCTCCATTTCATCTAACTAAAATTGTATCATTGCAAAGGTTGAAGCAATAAGAGTCCAAAAGGAAAAGATTACAGCAGAACCAAATTATGAGAGAAAAAACATAATCTCAGAGACCAAATGATATGCTTACTTAAAAGAGAGAATCTATATTACATCTTCTGCCAAAGAAGAACAAAATAGAAAACTCAAGTTTCCAACATCTTACACAAATGCAATCTTTGGCACAAAACAGCAAAACCTTACACATTCTCTCTTTCCGGTTTCGCCCAACTACCTTCACTTATCAAGCACATCACGAACAAATTAGTCATCTACTTTGCTCAAATTTCCCACCATGGAAGTGGTTACCTCATCACTTTCAAGTAACTTGATCGCTTCCTCTAACTTTCGTCTGACGATTCTTGTTCCCGAATCACATAATGCAGCTACACTGAAAACATTATTTGCTTCATGCATCAATGAACTTAGCCGTGACGACTGGGAAGATTTCCCCATTTTGTATGACGACTCAAATGAATCGCCACTCACTGCAACCCTTTTCTTTGCCCCTTTAGTCCATCTCTTCATTATGTATTGGGGTGGTAAGCAAGTGAAGTTTTTTAAGTCCAAAACTTTTAGGGAATGCCGGCACAAAATCCCCATGGATTCAAATAACTTACAAGAACACGAAACCATGGCAGTAGTGGAGTTGTAGTCAATCATGTAGGCTCTTTGATTACCTTCTTCGATTGCTTCGTAAATATATTGGTTGCCATCATTACCAACTTCTATCATCCTCACAGCAAAGATACTCATAAGCTCATTTTCAAAGTATGAATACATTTTGACAGTGTACTCAGCAGATGCATGCTTAAAGATACCACTATTTACTCTAAGATGAGGCGTACCATTTTTACAACGAAAATCCTCCTCCAACTCTGCTGTGCGCAGCACTCTTGTTTTTTTCTCGTAATGGTGGACAAGACCAATGAGATCCATTGTTTTTGTAGAAACTTGATGAAAAGTACCAGTTATGCTCTCGCCTCTATGGGGGGATCTAATATTCGCTGTGTAAGTATCTAAGCTAAAAGCAGGGCACCATTTTTCCCGAAGTGAATATAGCTTTTTCAGCCACACATTACCTTCAAGGTTGAACTTAATAATCATGTCATTCCACGTAGCTTCAAATTCAGCTTCAGTGAGACAATCATGAAAGCATTTGTTAAAGTGCTCCTTGAACTCAGGATTAGTACTATGAGATCCAAGATACTGTGCAGCGTTCTTAGAGATGTGCCATATGCATAGTCGATGGCGTGTCTCAGGAAGAATACTTACCATTGCATTTCCCATTGCAATATCCTCATCTGTGAATATAGTTTTCGGTTGTTTATTTCCCATTGACACCATAAATGTTTCCAGCAACCAAGTAATTGAGTCAGCACTCACATCCGACATAAAAGCACAACCAAATAAGACATTCTTGCAGTGGTGATTAACTCCCACAAAGGGAGCACAAATGAGATTGTATTTCCTGGTTCGAAATGTGGTGTCAAAGCATACAGCATCTCCAAAGCAATCATAATCCAACTTTGATCTACTATCTCTCCAGAAAAAATTGGTCGCCCGGTTAAATTGGTCCACTTGAACACTGTAAAAAAAGTTTGGATCCTCCGCCTGTTTATGCCTAAAATAGTTTAATAAACTTTGTCCATCCCGTCCTTCTAACATTTCTTCATTCTTCCTTTGCAAACAATTATGACAACCCTTATTAGTGGACCCAACATTCTCAGTGCTGCCAGATTCTTTTCCCAAGAGGGAATACGATTGTGTTGGTTTTGGACTCCCATCAACCATAGAGCTAATGAGTGCTGCGCGCACACCTGGTATATGTCTACCTGATCGTAGAAACTGTCTTTCTTCAGGCCTAGCAAACTCATGATTATGATCTGGGTTGAGGTGACTGATCTTCCACACGCCATTGTCCACAGTGAATCGAATCATAGCCTTACAGCCTGTTCTAGTGTCTAGTCTTCTCACCTTCTTCACTTCACACAAATCTTCATCTGGTTGAAACCCTTCTTTTGAACAAAAAAAGTCACGCTGCCGGACATTATTGTGGGAATCTCTTCGAATATTCCCTTTACGGATACTAAAACCTTTCTTAAAGGCATATATGTTGCATAGATTGTAAGCTTCAGCTTCATTACTCACCTCCATCCCCACTTTTAGTTCATCAATCGCTTCAAATATTTCTTCCTTGTCATTTTTCTCTAATACTTTCCCTCGCCAATCGTTATCCATTACCCAAAATAACTCCCTAATCATAAACAACACATTCTTCAATACTTGTATTCAGAAAATAGAAAAACCCACATCTCGCACTTTATTTATTAGCCTCAGCCTGTAAATTACCTAAAACTAAACAGCCAAATTTATGTTATGTTCTTTATTTTTTAGGAAAACTAATGAAAATGGCTTGAAAACTTTGAGTTTTAATGATAAGGTCAAAATAAAGTGAATAGTACCATGATTGACTTTTTAGTGTAAAAATATGGTTTTTCGTTGAAGTGAATACGGGTGTTTTTCGTTAAAGTTCCTTTTTTTTTTTTTACCCGAAGTTAAGATTCATATACTACATTTGAAATCCAAAAATCCAAAACAAAACCCAGATCAAGAAATTGTATTTACGTAATTAGAGGAAGCAAAGTTCAAAACTTCAGCACAACAAATCAAATCAATTAAAATAATAAATAAGAAAAAGAAAAAACAGACCCAAGAAATATAAAGTGCGAGCGCAAATGCAACATTTACAAAATTCAGAGTTTCCCCAATTTTGTTTAAGCAATTAGAATTCATTTTCTGCGAAATTATCAATCAATATATAATGACAAATTAGCATCAAGTTTCATAAACGAAGTACCCACCAATCCAACACCAGTAATCATATCAGAAAAAAAAACCGAGAGATGAGAGAGGAGGTACCTTATACGGCGCCGAGGCTACGCGGCTGTGAACGGGAATTCGGGTCGTCGGGAATAGAGAAGAGGACGTTGGAGTTTGGGACTGACCGAGGACTGAGGAGTGCTGTCACCGACTCGCTGTTCCAAGACATTTGTCTATGCTCTATAGAGATGAACACAACGCTGCGTTTTGGGCTTATCTTTGTTAGTTTTCGTTATGGCGGGTTTAAACTAACGAATTGCCATCCATCTAATTTTTCTTTCTTTTTGTCTCAATAAAATTATCATGTTTTGTGATTAAAATAGATAAAAAAAAGAATTTAAAATCCAGCATTAGGAAAGAATTGATTATTTATAAAAGTTCAGAGAAGTATTCGATTAAAATTAAAGTTCAAGAAGAAATTTACTAATTAGAAAATTTTAGATGGATAATTAGTTAGCAAATCGACAAATATGCCATATTTTAAAGGTAGAGGGGATTAGGTGATTTTATTTCACTATAAACTTGTTTAAGACGTGAGATGGATTCTCGTAATTTTGTGAAAAATGTGGTACTAATGACATAGTCGAGGTTTGGCATATCATCCCAAACGTTTTCTCATTAAATAGACCCCATGTCAAAAGCTTGTTTATAAACTTGTTCGTAATGTTTTGTAGGGCAATGTGTTGTACAACTTAATCTTTCTAGCTACTGATCGAACTTTCGTCCGGTATTTGACAAATTATTATTCCATCTTTAAAGAAATTGGGATCATTTACCATTCAATTTTAATTCAATAGTGAAAGAAAAACTAAAACGACACAAAAAATTTATAAAAAAACAATAAATTATTTTTCTTAACCTTTGAATCAAGATCAAACCGTGAAAATTATAAATTTGGGTGTATGGTTAAAAGTCTATAGAATGTAGGATATTGGTGAATCGAGATGTTTGGTTACAAGTGTGATATCATATTTTTAATTGAAATGGCTATAAAAGGTTAATTTTGCCATTTCAAAATTAATTTGTTGATATCAGCATTAAATTAACAGAACTTTAACGAAAGAGGTGTAGGGTTTTGAGAAATAATTTTAAAACATCAAAGAATATTAGTGATATGTTTAAAACCTAAGGAGTTTTGTGAGAACGCAACAAAGAATATTAGTGAATATAAATATGTTCAAAACTTAAGGAGTTTTGCGAACAAAGAATATTAGTGAACATAAATATGTTCAAAACTTAAGGAGTTTTGTGAGAACGCAATAAAGAATAGGGTGTGCTATCCACACATCATTTTTTACTTCTCACACACCCCTTATTAATTTCTGTCCGTTGATCTTTTTCAATTCATCTGATCCGACGGTCGAAAACCAAAAAGGTGTGGGAAAAGTAAAAAGGGGTGTGTGGATATCACACCCTTAAAGAATATTAGTGATATGTTCAAAACCTTTGGGTGCGTTTGTTGTACCGGACTATCTCGGACTGAACTAACTTTAGGGATTAAACTGGATTGGCTTAGATTAGACTAAGCTGAATTAATTTAGTGAAGTGTTTGGTGCAGTGTCGGACTAAAAAGTACGATAATTAACAAAACTTTAATATTATATTATTTAATCAATATCTATTAATATTTTAATATTAATATATTTATTTATTCTTTTATACTCTTCATCCTCTCTCATATCCTCTCTTTTTCTCCACCCATGTTCCTCCTGCCCTTTCCCTCTTTTACTCTGTTTCTTTGTCCCACTGTCACTCTCCCCACTCCCTTTTTTGGTCCCTTTTCACTCAAATTACGTTGCTATGTTCTTCTCTTCTTCAAAGTATGAAACTCTGAAATAAATTTCAGTTCTTTGATATTACAACTTAGTTCTTGGCGTTGGATTAAATCCAAAGCAAATCCAGCTAGGTATTCCTCCTTGAAGCAAAAAGGGAATATGGGTTGTGGGTTCGTTGGGTTTCATAAGAGGGAGAGAAATCAATTTGAAGCAAAGAGGAAGTTGGGTTCGTGAGACGAAGGAGATTGGCAAGACGACAAGATTTGGTGATGGGTTTGCGGGATGATGGAGATCAGCGAGACGGCAGGATTTGGCGATGCATGCTTGCAGATCGCAAACGATGCAGATATTAGAGAGCCGGGATTAGCAATCCCATCCTTTTTGGGGGTCCTAGCTAAGACGAGGTAGCGAAGCCTTTAGTCGGAACGAGTCCGACTTAATCCCATTAAAGATAGTCCCGGATCAAACCAAACACGGACTAGTAAGCTAATATAGTCTAGTGAAACCTAACGAGCCCAAACAAACATACCCGAAGGGTTTTGTGAAAACGCGATAAACTTCAAAAGGCTGTATGTGTAATTAACCCCTAGAGATAAAAGTTCAATTCCGATCCAACCGTCAGAAAATCATTCTCTACTTTTCATGAAACGCAGCGTCTTATCTGGGTAGCGGGACTTTCACTTCTTCATATGCATTTCTCAGAGTCGCGCGCAGCAGCAGGAGGGCTCGGATAGTCCAATGCAAAATCTTTCTCGCAAATTCTCAACAGTCCCAATTCACAAGCTTCTACCTTCCCAGCTTCACCAGCACAGACCACATCCGGCCGAAATCTTCTCGGAGTTTCAGCAGAGGCGGAAGCTCTTGGAGCACAAACTCGTCGCCGTTCTAGATGGATGCGCCGGCCTCCGCCAAGTCAAAGCGGTTCACGGTCACCTCCTCCTCCACGGCCTCGGCCAATGCTGCTACGTTCTCACCAAGCTCATCCGCACGCTCACGAAGCTCGACGTCCCCATGGACGCGTATCCGCTCCTAGTCTTCCGACAGATCAAGTACCCAAACCCGTTTCTCTGGACGGCTATGATCCGCGGGTACAGTATCCAAGGACCTGTTTCGGAATCGCTGAATTTTTATACTTGTATGAGGAAATCGGGTGTTGGGCCGGTGTCGTTTACGTTCTCGGCGCTTTTTAAGGCCTGTGGGGATGTGCTTGATGTGAATTTGGGGCGTCAGATTCATGCCCACACGATTTTAGTTGGTGGGTTCGTGGCGGATTTGTATGTGGGGAACACTATGATCGATATGTATGTGAAATGTGGGTTTTTGGAGTGTGGGCGCAAGGTGTTTGATGAAATGCCTGAGAGGGATGTTGTTTCTTGGACTGAGTTGATTGTTGCTTATACCAAGGTTGGGGATATGGAATCAGCTCGGGAGTTGTTTGAGGGGTTGCCTGCAAAAGATATGGTGGCGTGGACTGCAATGGTTAACGGTTATGCTCAGAATGCCCATCCGAGAGAGGCGTTGGATTGCTTTGAGAGAATGCAGTGTGCTGGTGTAGGAACTGATGAGATTACATTGGCTGGTCTCATTTCGGCTTGTGCACAATTAGGTGCGTCTAAATATGCTAATTGGGTTCGGGACATTGCTGAGAAATCCGGTTTTGGGCCTACTGAAAATGTTCTTGTGGGTTCTGCATTGATAGATATGTACTCCAAGTGTGGAAGCTTGGATAATGCATTCAAGGTTTTTCAGGGAATGAAGGAAAGAAACGTATTTTCTTATAGCTCAATGATTTTGGGGTTTGCAATGCACGGTCGTGCAAGTGCAGCAATAGAATTATTTCATGAGATGTTGACGACCGAGATAAGACCTAACAAGGTTACTTTTATAGGGGTGCTGACAGCTTGCAGCCATGCTGGTATGGTTGATCAAGGTCGGCAGTTATTTGCAACCATGGAGAAGTACTATGATGTTGTTCCAACAGCTGATCATTACACTTGCATGGTAGACCTACTTGGTCGAGCTGGGCGCTTGGAAGAAGCTCTTGACCTTGTTGAAACAATGCCAATAGATGCCCATGGAGGCGTGTGGGGAGCTCTACTAGGGGCATGTCGTACCCATGGGAATCCCGACATTGCTCAGATTGCTGCTAACCATCTTTTTGAGCTTGAACCTGATAGCATTGGAAACTATGTAGTGCTCTCGAACATTTATGCATCAGCAGGAAGGTGGGATGAGGTTTCAAGAGTGAGGAAGTTGATGAGGGAAAAGGGTCTGAAAAAGAAACCTGCATATAGTTGGGTTGAAACAAAGAAAGGTGTAATTCACGAGTTCTGTGCAGGTGAAACAACCCATCCAGAGTACACCGAGATTAAGAAGACGTTGGAGGACCTTCTGGACAGATTACTGGCTAATGGCTACCAGCCTAACCTGGATTCCGCGGCTTATGCTGTGGGAGATGATGAAAAGACGCGTATATTAATGTCTCATAGTGAAAAGCTAGCTTTAGCGTATGCATTGCTCAGTACAGATTCTGTTTCCACCATTAAGATTATGAAGAACATTAGGATTTGTGAAGACTGTCATTCGTTTATGTGTGGTGCATCCCAAGTTACGGGGAGGGAGATTGTCGTGAGAGATAACATGAGATTCCACCACTTCCACAACGGGACATGCTCTTGCGGAAACTTTTGGTGATTGAACCTGCAGATGAAGATTGTTGGAAGAAGATTACAGAGCAATGATTGATAAGGCGGAAGGCCGGTTTCAAGCAATATGAGCATTTATGGAACACAATGGGAAATTACTCTTGCTCCTTGGGCAAACGTGACAGCCAATGCAGTCGAAGTTCAACCATCATTTGGATTTTGGAACAAAGATTTTGCTGGTCTGCTGCCGTGGTATTGGAGGCTTTCACGACGTAACAGAGTTTTGAGAGATTTATTAGAAGTACATGAAGCCTCGAAGACTTGCAGCTATGACAATTCAGAACCGTCGCTGGAGCCCTCGGCATTTCATTTCATATACGAAGAATATTTGAGTATCTCCACTCTTTTATTTTATGTTAAAATTTTGTATCAATTCAGCCTTTCGGAATAAGAGAATTTGTATGTACAATTTTGAAACATCAGCTGATCAATCGTAGCACTGGAAATTATATATATACTAAAAGAGTAACTTTCAATATAATTCCCGTTGTGTCCTTTAAGACTCAATTCACTGTTACTTCGACAGTGTATATCCGATTTTGCCCTCACCCATTTTTCTTTTATTTCAACTTTGCCCCTTTTGCTTTGCTGTCAAACGGACAACAAAATGGGACGCATGGGTTTCTGCTGCTTCTTCCCTCTCTCTCTCTCTTCGACCCATTGTTCATCCTTTCCACCGCTTCAATCTTCCTTCAACTGGCTGTAGGCCCCTTAGCTGCCTGTTGGGTTTTGGTGCTGCCACGTCATAAGATATATGATCGTGGCAATTTTTACGAGCGTGTTCCATTTGCTTCTGGAATCTCTTCATTTCTCTGTGTCTCACAACCCTGGAACCAGAACAGCCCCTCTCAAAATGCATGAACCACAACACGATCTCTCTCAAAAACTGCGAACCAACCATTACATGAATCTGGTCTCCATTCAAGGAAAAATTTTATACCCAGAAGAGGTTGGGTTTCCTGGTGAGTTCTCCGGCCTATTTGGGGCTTCTTTCTGTTTTTTTTTTTTTTTTTTTTTTTTTTTTGGGTAGTATTCAATCTTTTCTGGGTTGATCCCTTGGTCGAAATCTTTCTTATGGAAAAAGTAGTGGTAGTGGGTCAGGTATGAGGTTTTTCATCCATCTCCAGATTCTTTAATTTGTTTTTGTTGTAGAGTATGATTCTCCGGCTCTGGTAATTCAAGATAGTTCCTTTGCAATTTCAAAGTTGGTGGCAGAATTCTTGAGGATCTTCCACGAGCAGTAAGCATAACGTTAAAGGACCATTCTTATTTCATAATCTTTTAACAGAGCATTACATCTTTAATTTTCTCATTTAATTTTTTAATTTTCTCTTTTTCTTCACTGAAAAAAATCCCTAATTTGGCTTTTTTTTTTTTTTTTTTTTGAAAAGAGTAACGGCGTCTAAGGATGATTTGGAGCCAGGAAAAAATCCCTAATTTTCTCTGCTTCTTGAGATCGGCGTGGCTTCCTCGACTATTTTCACTGAGGTTTCTCGCTTCAATCGGTATGTTCTATAGCTCCGTTCGAATTCGTATAAAAAAGTAGTGAATTATTTGTTGTTTGTAGGTTTTTTCAAATGGATTTTTTTTTTCTGTGGGATTTATTCGAATATTTTGGGTTTGTTGGGTTTTGCTGCCCTGAACTTGCTGATGAGTGGTCATGTAAGGTTATTAAAACTTTTTAAATTTTTGGGTTTTGCTATAATTAATTAAAGATTTGATAAAGACATTATTTATTTTGTGGAATTCCTTTTAAACGTTAGAATGTTTTGTCTCACATTTGATCATTTGGGTGTTGAGCAGCAATGCATTGATGATAATCTCTTTATAAAAAGGAGCCATTTTTATGATGAGAATAGAAGAGTTGCCACAATGCTCGAGGTCACCAACCCCAGGATTGGAGCTGCTTCAACCTGAAAAAGGTTAATTATTTTATAAAATAAGTTCAAATTTCTTAGTAGCTTGGCTTAACAATAAATTCCAAGTGAATTTATGTTGTTTATAGAATGCATATGAGCTTTCATGTGTATCATTCCTTCAATACCTCTATATGGTTACAAATGATTGAAGATAATCTATACATTTCAGTTGAAGTTTACTATATTTTTGAAAATCTTTATTTTTAAAATTTTTTATTTTTATTTTTAAAATTTTAGTTGAAATCAATAAAAATGAACATTTTGGTGATGGAACACAGGGAAAAAGCGGTGGAAAATGATTGAAATGATTTTTTTACATCCCTTTCAAGTTTCAATCATTGCTGCCCACCAGTTTGCCCAGACCTCATCTCTCAGCTTTGTGATCTGTAGACTGCTACAGAAGCATGCTTTGTTCAAGTCGGCAACAACTACAGAGGTAAGCTCTCTGATAAATCTTCTAATTCACTCTTTTTTTCTTTTTTCATCTGGGTAATTAACTAATTCCAGGCCAGGTCCAGGACGCCACAGCTGCCTTGCACCATTTTCCAAAATCCTCTCTCACTTTGGTAAGCAATTAAGACTTTTGGTTCAGTTTTTATTATGCCCAATTTTGTATTTAAACATTAAAAAAATTTAAACTGATTTGGGGTTACTGAAATAGGCATGCTCAAAGAGTGATGCAGCGCTGCCATCCCTGAATCAGAAAATACTCAGAAGGAAGAAGAAGAAGAAAGTCGTAGAATATCAAAAGCTTTTTGCTTTGTGAAGGTATGCTTTTCCCAACTCACCTCTTGCTTTTGTTCCAATGAATTGGTAGATTAGGTTCAAAAATATATATTTGTGAATTTTCGCAGAACTCTTTCTTTACATAATTACCTATTGAAGGTGATTTGAGATCATGTAACATTTGCTCTCCGGAACGGAGATTGCTGTCGCTCAGAGTTGCGTTTCATGAAACAACTTTATCTCTTGCTAATTTTGTGTACCCACTTTTTATTAATGATGGTTGGTGCTTGCTTGCAGCCCAATTTAGTGCTATAATGTTTTGCGTTTTACAATCTGTTCATGCTTAAACCTCTTTCAATTTTTCAATTCTATGTAAATCTTGCAGGTCAGGACGACGCACCTATCTTTGCAATGTTGGGATGTCTAGGCTTGGGTGGAGACGTGGACTTATGGAACAGGTGAAGTAGCTTAGCTCTATTTCATTAGCTCTTATCTGTTCTATTAATGCTAAGATCAATAGTAAAAAGTTCTATTGCTTTTATAATCAAAGATACATATATTATATAAACAGAGGATATATCATTAATTCTTGATGTAAACAATGATAATTTGAAGAACCATTTAAAGTATTTTCGTAATCAGCATACTTAAACTTAAATGTGATATATCTGTTTAGTTTTTTTTTTATACAGTGATAATATTCAAGTATAATTTGCATCATATATCTTTTGAAGTACATGAAACTATGAAAAAAAAACCCTAATTAATCTGATTATGGGGTTTTATATCAAAATATTGCAGCAAAAGTCACACTTTGAAGAGTTCCTCTTAATATATTTTCAATTTATAACCTAATCTTAATTTGTCTTCAATTTCTTTTAGAAATAAGAATTTCGATTTCAATTTTATTTTGAGAATTCATATACTTACATTTCTTTTACAGATTCCTGAAGCTCATGATAATTCTTCCTCTTTAGATATAGATATATCTTCATTTAATGCACTTAAGATGCTTTAATTTTTTGAATAATTTGTATGTGCAGAGTAATGAACTCTATCATTGGCATCAATGGCATGCAAACACATCTATCTAATGAATGACTGAAAGCATGGATATAATATGCATTTTCTTTGTCATTTCAACGCAGTGATAAGCTAGGTTTAACCATTGAATTGGGTTCCTTTAATTATGTCATCTACTGACCTCATAATATTCTCACCAACAATGAAGCAACGAAGAAATAACATGTACAAGTATTTTGTTTTATTTTTTACCAATATGCGTGTTTAGCAAAAGTCCCAGCCCTCTTCACAGTAATGTGTGTATCTGATCAATTATTTTTAAACACAACTGTCTTATCTTAAAGTGCCAATTGCTATTGAATGGCTGAGTGGGTTTCTTTATCCTAAGAATTTTTTTTTTCTGCAATTTCTTTTGGATTCTCTTTTTTTGTTTGTTTTGTTCGATAATTTTCCTCTTAGTTAGGCTGACTATTTTTTGTTTGGGTTCTATTTGTGGATTATTGTCGCCTCTTCAGCTATTGAGGCCACCATTTTTTAGGTATTTTTCTAATCTCTCATTTGTTTACCCAATTCTACTTTTGGATTTGATTCTTGACTGACGGGATGTTGTGATCATGTGTAATATTGTTTAGTATTCTTTAATTTTTTTATGAATTTGGGAATACCCATTTCTACTTTTGGATTTGATTCTTGACTGACGAGATGTTGTGATCATGTGTGATAATGTTTAGTATTCTTTAATTTTTTTATGAATTTGGGAAATCAAATTATCCAATGGAAATAAACAGTTACTTTATAGTATGTCATCAAGTTTAGAATGATAACTATGAATGCCCAAGTTATGATTAATGCCTCTATTAGTTCATTCGAATTTGATGTTCTCATTTGGTCAAGAAGTATATACAGTTGTCTTTATACTTGAGAGAAATTAATTACATTGGACAACATCATTGGTCCTCTTTGTTTTTTTAATTACTTTTTTCCCCCTCAATTTTTTGCCATGCCCTTTCATTTTTTTTTTTAATTTTCCTACAGGTTTTCATTTGAAAGGAAAATATTACATTCGTATGAATTCTATGTTGCTGCTCAGGTCTATGATTTTTTTCCCCTTGCTCAGGCATTATTGTCTTTTCACTGCATATTGATATTAACTTTCTGTTTGGAAATGCCTCTATTTTTCTTTCACTTGCTGAAAATGTCCAATTATAAAGCAGTTCTTTGTTTTTGTTGCTATAAAGACCTTTTCTTTGTCCAATTATGTCTAACCCAACTCTTTCTAATTTAAATGCACTCATTTTGTCGCACATTCTATCTAATAGAGCAAATGAAAAATGGATTATATATGCTCCTTCATTATTATATATAAAAAAAACTTCATCTTACCTTCGGTTGTGTGTCCCCCATTTGTATACTTATATTTTCTATTGTTTCTTCGTCAAATTAATCATAGCAGATTATTACATCATCATCGTAACAGTTATATACCTTCTTTACTATTTTAATTTCTACTTACACATTGGTTTTTTTTACTGTTTTTGTTGCTATAAGTAATTTATTTGAACTTCTGACTCTGTCTAATTAGTATCTCTGAGATATATTTGATATATGACTGAAGTTCAAAAAATGGGTTGGTTTGAATACACTTATTTTAGTCTTATTGCATCTAATAGAACATATGAAAATAGAGGGAAACAAAAATTTCATTTGCACCTTCAGGATCACAAATGAACCCTATCTCAGTTTTATTTATATGTCCCCTTTTTGTTTTCTTATATGTCCCGCAATAACGACTCCTTTTTATCAGAATTTGTAGGAACTAGCTGAAACCATAAATCTCAACATAATGAAGATGAAGATGAGCATTTTATCTTTTGATCACTGTAATGTGTTGCTTATTTATCTTCTCAAACACCGGACATGTAAATATTGATTTATAAAACTTATTTATATATTAATGGTATTGTCTTAAACGGTGTTTTTAAAACCCGCAGCAAAGCGCGGGCATTTATGCTTCTTGTAATATTCTATATTGGAATTATTATTGCTTTTGCTATCAAATCACCGATCTTACCCTTGCATACATAGTTACCAGACACCATGAAGACACACATTACAGTATTTGTATGTTTTTAGCTGGAATCTTATTGAAAATGGGAGCGTATGGATTGGTTCGAATCAATATGGAATTATTAACCCCACAAGACATCGCCATATGACGTTGCCATTTTAAGCAACAAATAAGTGACATCCTTAATTTAATCAATGATCCACATCCTTAATTTAATCAATGATCCACATCGATAAAAATATAAAAAAATAATCAATGATCCACGAAAAATAACCCCTTTTCTTTAGGCATGTTTGTGACCTCTTTTCCATACGCCAAATGTATTTCAAATGGGCAGAGCCAGGCCCCCAGCATTTGCCGTCACTGTATTTCAAATGAATTAACTGTTAACAGCACTGTAAAACTGGCCACGGACTTTGATTTGTGTCTTTTGTCTCTTAGAGCAACTCCCACTCTGGATGGTGATGAGAGTCGTTTGTTTCCTTTGTTGGCGTTGCTGAATAACATGTTCTTGTTATTGTTATTGTCACACCGTACACACAATTGTAGGATGTTATAAAACCATTTCTGCAACAATAATTAAACCAGAATCACTGTACTGAGCTAAATATATAAACATAAACGACAGACAAAGTTACATATCACAAAGACAAACGACACTGCGAAGTGCTGAGCTTGCACTGTTGGAAACTATTAGTATTGAGTAATGCTATTCATACCAAGTTTGGTATACGAGAAGTCTTTCTCCTTTCTTTCCTTAGGTTTTGCAAATTGTTCAAATGATGTGGCTGTTCACATCAGATGTCACCTAAGGTGATATAGAAATGTGGTACAAAAACATAGTATGAATAACATTAGGGTTTACTTTAATGTTTGGTTTCTTGGGCTTAACCCGTTAACATTAGGGTTAGGATTAGCTTATTATAAATAGCATGCTTGGTATTCGGTCGTGAATATGTTAGCCACGATGTAACCTCTTCGGATTTTGTAGCCGTTTTGACATTCTCAGTTTGTTTAATAATATTCTTATTATTTGTAGTATTGTTCATCGCACACTCTGATATTCTCAATTTGGTATCAGAGCAGGTTTCATCATTTGGGATTTAATTTGCTTTGGGTTGGTATCCGTTTGCTTGTGTCTGTTTACTGTTCATATTCAGATTGTCTACTTGTGTTTGACAGTTTGCAAAGAAAAAAGGTGTGTTTAATTTTTTCAGTTGTGTTGACGGCCTTCTGCTTCTTCCCTTCCGTCCGTATTCGTTTCTGGTCACCTGCACGTTTGGACGAAGCTCTGACCCGAGAACCACTTGGATTGAGTTCGTCTCCACTTGAACTCCTGCAAATCAGATTTGATAAACCCACCGTTTATGTTCCGCACTGTACTTGCCATCTCCACTGCACCGAAACCTGATCAGTTCCGTCCACAACCTGCACCTCCCCACCATACCCGTGAACTCGTCTACCCACCACCGTGCTGCCTTCGCACCATACCTACATCCTCCCCGCCGCTTTGATCTGCACTTCACCGCCGTTGCTATCCCATCGCGTCCAAAATCCCAGAATTGAGATCCCATACCTGCACTCATATTTGTTTTCTCTGGAGAACATTGCCCAAAAAGAGAGGTTGAAAGGAAGAGGAAGAAAAAAAAAAGGAAAAAAAAAAGATGTGATGTTTGGAATGAAAACAAAGAGAAAAAGTGAGATAGGCCTGTATGGGCAAGGAGAAAAATTATTAGTTTTTGAGTTTCTGAGAGGCCCACATGGGCAATGTGGCCTGTTGTTGAAATCTTTTGTTGTTGGTGTTGGCTTGTTTGAGATTGTTTTGTGACCGGCACTCGAGTGTTTGAAATTGTGACCACTTAAGTGATGGTGTTTGTGTTTGTTCATTCGTTGCTACAATTGAGATATGGAAATCTCGTTCGTTTAATGACGAGTTCTTTCTATACTCTCAACACTAACCAGTCTGAATTAGAATCAGTTGGCAGTTTGCCAATCCAGTCAAGTCCAGTTCATCAGTCAAATCAAGTCTAAGTCAATTTCGCCTGTCAAGTTAAGTCAAGTCAAATTTGCATGCTTACTGTGGAGAAAAAAATAATCACAAGGCGACACGTGGATTTTTGGGTAAAAGAGGACAAAAATACCCTTAAGGCATACCGGGATTCCTACGCGCTAGCAGCGGACAATCATTTGTCAATCAAAACAAAAGTGCCCAAAATAGGTAACAAATTCAAAATTATTTCATCCATCCTCATCCTATATTTTTCACAAGGTAATCATTCCATAACTTACAAAATATTCCACATAAATGACATAACCCTCAAAATATTTATACCAAAATGTGTTAATTAACCAATTAATGGATTAATTTCCTAATTAATCCATTAAATCACACATTAAACCATAAATTACACCCTATCCTTATAAATAGGCTCCCATTTTCACCAAAAGATCAGTCCAACACTCTTGATAAAATTCTCTAGAATTCTCAAACACTTTTTCTCTCTAAATTCTAACTTTGGCATTGGAGGTTCTTCGGCCAAAGCTCCCCCATTCATCGTGGGCGCGTGAGGCTCTTGGCATTGACCTAAGGTGTTAATTGTTTTGTAGGTGCAATTTTGTCCAAGATCAAGGAGGAAGAAATTTGCATCCACAAATTGGTGCTTTCATTGAGAGTTGAGATCCATACTCGTAGAAGACTCTCGCATAAAAAGGTTTTTCTCTATTTTCTAGTCCATTTGAATATTTTTCATATGTTCTTATTATTAGAATTTTTTATTTGCAAAGGTTCTTTGATAAAACGTATAAGAAAAATATAATGGTTAGAAATTTAGAAAATTCCATAAGTGAAAATTCCAATATTCAAGAAATGGGACCACGACGATCCACGAGGCTAAATGTGATTATAAAAGTGGCACAATCGCTACGGGGCTCCACCATGGCAACCACCGCGGTGGCCACCACGGTCACCATTACCTGCAGCGAGGTTCATAGCACCGCTACCATGGCCCAAGTTGTGCCATCCAAGGCTCACGACACCAAAGCTATGGCCCAAGCCATGTCACTCCAAGCCCAACGCGAACTCAATGCATTGCCAAGCAGAGCCCAAGCCTCGCACCCATGTGCATCACATTCTGAGCAGCTTGCTTCTACCGAGCAACCCACTCTCGTGGCCCGGGAACTGAGCAGCTTGCTTCCGCTAAGCAGCCCACTCTTGCGGCCCAGTCTGCTCTCACCGAGCAGCTCACTATCGCGGCCCAACCTGCTCTCACCGAGCAGCCTACTCTCATGGCCCAACCTGCTTCTGCGGCCCAGTTTGCTCTCGTGGCCTTCCAAGTGGCTCGAATCGATTCAAGATTAGTTCAATCGTCTCGGCTCCAAATTTTCGGACCGACGATTGAACATGGAGCATTTTCACCACATTCTTATGCGGGTTTGACATTTCCCAACTCAAATCTCACACCCGGAGTCTACCACACTTCCACTGCTCAAGGAGATGCATTCCCTCCAAGCTATTCCAACCCAAATGGAGAATAACACTTGTCTCGACAAGTCATAGAGTTGACCAGCGCCCTCACACAACAGACGACCTTAGTGAACCAGTTCTTGCAGCGTACCGAGATGCAACGTGCCCCAGATGAGGTGTTCCAAAGTAGGACAAGGGCAGACAAAGAACCTCTCCAGCAGTGTCCCGGCAAGCAGCCACGAACCAAGCGTTCGAGCAGTGTACACTCCCGATTGGGCCCCTGAGATAGCGTATACTCCTGTCTTAGTGCACAGAGGAGCGTGCACTATTGACTAGGCCCACGGACGAGCATACATTCACGGTTGGGGTCACACTCCGATAGTCAACATGAACAACCTTCCAGACGAAGTGTTCATTCGCGGCTAAGCCTGCAAGGAACATCATCCACCTTACATCGGAGTAGGCAGCACGACGGACGGAGAGAAGTAGTCACTTAATCCGGCTCAAGTTCAACAGGCAGCCTGCGAAGAACTCGCTCGCTTGCTAGGAACACACCACACGCACCTCATCCGCGGCATAGACGAGCCAAACACATGAAAGAGCAACCTAGACCAGCAAGTCACGGCTGTGGGCAGCTGAGAGCTCCGCTACCTCTAACAAAGGCAAATTCAGGAAGAAGTAGAGAAACTCTTGACCAAGCAATTGCATAATTTCTAACGCAACGAGGTCACCGACGAGGCACTACGACAGAACATGACTAACATAAGCAGGTCACCCTTCACAGACGAGATCGAGCAGGCAAAGCCTTCACGCGAGTTTAACATACCACATTTCACATCTTTCACAAAGGATGAAGACCTGGAGAGACACTTAAAACACCACTGAAGCGCAATGATCCTATATCGAAATAACGATGATCTTATGTGCAAGATATTCGCCACCACTTTACAAGGCAAGGCGCAATATTGGTTCTACACCCTACCGCCACAATCTATCCGGAGTTTTGACGAACTTTATTTGGTTTTCACCAAAGAATATTCATCCTATCGCTCAATAAAAAAGAAGTCTGACCATTTGTTTAACGTCAAGAAGAACCCAAAGGAGTCGATTCGCGACTATGTGAAGAGGTTCAAAGCAGAGAAAGCAAGAATAGTTGGATACAACGACTCGATAGCTAGAGCAGCCTTTCAAAAAAGACTTCCAGCAGACCACCCGCTATTCGAAAAATTGATTATGAAAGAAGATCTAACTCTGGCTGACTCTTTCGCTCTGGCAGAGAAGCATGCACTTTAGGACGAGGCTTGCCAATGCACATTCAAGGACTTGAAGAAGTACATGACATCACCTCTACTATCCAAACCGGAAGCAGCGGAGGACTTATTCGCATGTTTGACGGTATCTAAAGCAGTAATAAGCTCTATCATCATACGAGAAGAGCTGGGGGCCCGACTACCTGTATTCTACAGTTTAAAAGCTAACCTC